AGATGTATTGATCACCTCCCACGTTCGCGGGACAGGCATTGATCAAACTGTGCAGGACGCCAGTGTTTACTCATACATTGTTTACATTCCTTCACAATCTGCTCATATGGTCTCATTTTCTCATTCCGTGCTCATGTCCAATATTAACAAGTTACTCCTATTCCTGGTTCTTTCGGTAAAGTCGCGTAGAAGGGAAACAATAAAATAATAAAATAAAACAATATTATTGTTTCCCTTCTACGTGACTTTACTGAAAGAACCAATTATATGAATCCCTGCAGTCACGAAAGCTTTAAATCAAAAGTTACTCCTAATAAACAGCTGCTTCATGGTCAGCTAATTCGTAGTACCGGACCTTATTTTCTATCTGTTAAATAGTCTCGATGTAGTGTTTAAGTGCAGTCAGTAATTTATGTACAGCACGCTGAAATTAAATGTAGCTATAAATACCCAGGTGCGGCTGATGGCAGCACGGTGCTGCGAAGCCGGCGACCCGAGTTCGATTTCCTGGCCACGGCTAACATCAGTGGCGGGTGGGCATCTGAAACCGTTCGACCCGCACTGATCAGCGTGAGGAATTATGGATCAAACGACGCCCCCAAGACTGACACCGTCATTGCCATCCCTCAAGGTCCTGCGATGCCGTAACGTGCCCTCGCTCCTGCACGTGAACCGACCTCACCCCATCGCTCCACCACCTCCGTGGCGGTCACCTTTCAGATCAGTGTGAGGAATTATGGATCAAACGACGCCCCCAAGACTGACACCGTCATTGCCATCCCTCAAGGTCCTGCGATGCCGTAACGTGCCCTCGCTCCTGCACGTGAACCGACCTCACCCCATCGCTCCACCACCTCCGTGGCGGTCACCCTCTCGGGAGTGCTCTCTTCGTTAGAAGCCATTTCGTCACCGGTCTGATGCAACGCGTGAGCCGGCGCCACGGAGTGAGCAAGGGCTGGTGGATGGCCGCGGGTTTTACCGACGCCGCCAAACCCAGAGGCCAGGTTGAGGACGATAAAACTGAAGTGTTAAATAATTTTTTTTTTTTTTTTTTACCAGGTAAGGCCCACTGAGCTGTACAGCTCTTTTTTCAGAAGCGACCTGGCCACAAATGATAGCTCAACGAAGCGGCTTATCATGTGGAAATGAATAGCAGCCAAATATTCTAAACGCACGTTGATTCTAAATGTGGACGGAAAAATCGGAGAAGCCGCAGAAAAATCCATTCGACCACGGGGAGAACATGCAAACTCCAAATATACACGTTTTAGGGTCGGGATCGAACCCACAACTCCCTGTATACCAGGCGGGGTAGTTAACATCGCGCCACCGTGGTGCCCAGACAAGAGGTAACGTGAACCCATATGTGTGGACCTTGGGGTGGTATTTCGTCATATACATGGATTTCCTCCTACATGCAATATAATCATTAAAACATCCATCTCAACCGCATGGCACCCTACAAACTTTCTAATGTAATCGACAATGAAACTAAACGCTCACGAATGCCACTGACAAAACATTCCAAAAAGGACCCACCTGGAATGGTCTTGATACACAGATAAAACTATCCTAGATATAATATATCATCATTATCAACAGCAGGATAATAAACCACATCATCATTTGAAGCAGCAGTGGTAGCGGGAGAAGCAGTAATGGTAGCGGCAGTTATCAGCAACAAAAGTAACAGTCGGAAGATCATAATCCTCCTCTTATCTGTGACAATCTGCATGTAACAGGAAGAATCTACATGAGATTTTACAAGACAATATGGGATTCGTGGACATACGAGTTATGGGCACACGTAGTTTCATTGCATCTCCAATTAGCACGGTTGGCTACGTACGGTGTGAAAGAAGTTCAACATAGTATATATCAAAATAACAATTCCTTTGGAAGAACATTGTCAGGCTAGTTAGTTTGTTGGTCTAAAGTAGAATTTTATTTGAAGCTTTCGTGACTGCAGGAATTACTCTTTGGTTCGTTCGGTAAAGTCACGTAGAAAGGAAAAATAAATTAAATTATAGCATGCGACGTTTCGATTGCAACACAAGCAATCATCATCAGGTACAAATGAAAGAGAAAACAGAGCTAGTAAACTTAGAAATACAATGCAATACAACACAGAGAGTCGGCTAACATAACAGTCAACACCCTACCTGGTAGATTACATTCTTCCAAAGATTGCTAAATTTGAGAGAGAGACAAACCACAGACACGGAGACACACAGACAGACACACAAGCAGAGAGAGATAACACAGAGACACACAGAGAGCGACACACACATAGGCACTATTTCCAAGTTTACTAGGTTAGTTTTCTTTTTTATTTGTACCTGATGATGATTGCTTGTGTTGCAATCGAAACGTCGTACGCTATTATTTATTAATTTTCCTTTCTACGTGACTTTACAGATAAAACCAAAGAGTAAAGTAGAATTGTATCCAATGAAAGCATAACAAAAATACAGACGGCAAACATGCTCATGTCAACAACTCCGCAATGTATTGAAGGAAACTGAGAAGCATAAATCCTGCAGCGTGTTTCAGTTAAAAAAAAGAGGGATACATTTCAAATTCACTGGGCTGGTTTTTCGTGCAGTCACCTAAAGACTCTCCCAGTAACCTCTGTGCACTGTGTGCAGAGCACCGTTTAGCACATATCCTTGTTTAACTTAACTCGCCCAAAAGTACACAAGAGGAGCTCAATGAACCCTGAGAGTTATGTGCTCGTCCACTAATCTGTAATGCTGAAATGCACACACTTTGGAGACAAAGCGAGAGAGTTGGTGTTGGACACCAACATGACAATTTTTGTGGAAGAGAGTGAAACAGACCTTTCCCCTCTTTGAGGGAAGGTATTCACTCTTGCAAAGAGATGTGCGAAAAAAATACTGCTGCGCGCAAAAATGCAAATTGCTCCACATTCACCGAGTGTTGCTACGAATTTCTTCAACTCATTACTTGGCCACTGTGCGGTTGTACATTCCTTGGCTCAAACCAGTTTGTAAACTCATGTATTGTGAAATATGGATGTTGAATTAAATAAGTAATCCCGTGTTTATGGTTGTTCTTTGTCTGCGCCGTATAATTCCGCATCTCTTCAAGCCACTGGCGCATATCCAGAAAGTGACAGATTTCTCATATAGCTATTTGTGTAGGTGCTCTCAGTGAGCATCTATTAAGGCTGGCACAGCGCATGAGGGAGTGGCGATTGGTCAGCAACCGATGCCCAGCCACCCTCATCGCAATCGTACTCAAGCTTACATACCCACACCAGTTATTAATTTATGCCCGAGTCAACCTAGAGGAGGTCCTAAACTATTTTATCAACCACTTGCCGCTGAAGTTATACTTGGCCGGAAACAAAATTAAAACCACAGGATGTTAGCCAATGTGCCAAGACTCCCCCCCACAAAAAAAATGCTTACACAGGCTGCTCATGGTAAGCAAAGTATTTCAGTAGGTGGCTGGGTCTACAGTGTAGGCATGTGACAATTCACACGCACGTGGAGATTGATGAATTGCCACAAATTAGCATTGGCTTCGATAAACATTTTCTAAATAGTCTTGTCTTGTTTTATACCATTTTGTCGTGTATTATTTCTTGGTGTGTTTTGTCCTACTTATTTGTACACTCCATTCGTCTGAATGTAATACTGCATGGAATCGGCATATAATTTCCACACATCCCATATGGTTCAATGCACGTACCATGTAAGCGTCGATTTTAATCAGTAAAATGGATTGGGGTATAAACAAAACCAATTCCGTATAAATTACAAGACACTGAATAGGAGATGGTAAACAGAGCCAAAAAATAATGAGACTTTTTTTTATCAAACCTTGCCACCAAATCGTTGAGAGTATAAAATGGTTCGATGCCCAATGCCTATTATAGAGCAGAATGATTATAAACAAAATATTTCAGGCCTTTATCAATCCACTGCTGGATGAAGGGCTCTCTAGGCTGCAGCTATAATGGGGGTTGTTTGACCATACTTCACAAAAAACTTTATTTTGTTTTATTTTACCAGGTAAGGCCTCCTGAGCTGTATAGCTCTTTTACAGAAGCGGCCTGGCCATAAATGGCTTATCATGTGGAAATGTATCGCAGCCAAATACTCTAAACAAGTGTTTCTAAATGTGGAGGGATAAACCGGAGGGTCCGGAGAAAAATCCACGCGGCCATGGGGAGAGAGAGACACGCAAACTCCAAATGTACAGGCGTCAGGGTCGGGATCAAACCCACGACCTCCTGTAAACCAGGCGAGATAGTTAACTCATCACTACACTGATCATTGTAGATTGGCAGAGGTGGGGAAGAGTGGGGTGAATGATTGCTTCAGATATTACTCATCAATGTACCATTGGGCATAAATCGATGCACTACTCTGAACAGCTCACACAGTGGCATCAACTATGACTGCTGGAAGTGGGAGCCTAATGAATGCACAGTCACTCCAGTCACCTGCTCATCGGCGGTCAGTCAGCTCATTATCACCGTTCTGTCGTGACTCCCATGAGCATTGTTCCCATGAACTTAACCCATTGATTTCTCCACTCGTGCTATGAGGACTCGGGGCTATCAAGCTGACCGATTCGTCTAATTCATGGGGTGTTCAACCACCACCTCTGATTAGCACGGTTGGCAACGTACGGTGCGAAAGAAGTTCAACACGCATACCTACACCAGACTGCAGGTAAAAAAAAAAAAACGCCTCCTCTTCTTGCTATCCTTCCTCAAACTCTTCAACCGTTCAAACTCCCTCCTATCATCTCTATGCCCCAAGTTCTAACAACATTGCACGATTAAACAAACACATTGGCATTAATCTAAAACACCTTCATGAGCACCGTTTGGCGCTCGTGCTATTTGTCGCGTCGTGGGCTTTTTGAGACTGCGCTCGGCAGCCGTCGGAGCAAAAAAAAAACATTTCTCTCTGCGCGGCACTGCCGCGCACACGACTCGATCACACATGCCCTCTCCCACACACCTGACTCGGCCTGCATCATGCGAATGGCCTTGGCTTTGGCGAGCTCCAGGGCGGTGACCCAGCGCTGGCGCTCCACCTCGGAGCTCGCCTTCAGGTGGTACGTCTGCGTGCCGCCATTGGACACCACGATGTTGCACGAATCCTCCGTGTCGATGTACGCGCCCGCCAAGTTGATGGTTCCTCGACATGTGTGAGCCATCTCCGCCTGGGTCCTGAAAACACACACACACGCACACATAGCCTTGAACAGACTGTTGGAGCTGGTGCTGTGAAGCGTGACGTATTAAGGCCACCCACAGAACACGAGGGGGGGGGGGTCGTGTGGCCAGCGCAATGTCCGTCCACCTTTGTCTCCCCATTGCTGATGTTTACACCCCCCCCCCACCCCCGGCAAGGTACTAATTTAAGGCTGAGCGATCCTAGGCGATGTCCACGACTGGTTTAAACACAGTACATTGGCCATGGCCGGAAATGAATATACACGTAAAGATGAATTACAACAACCAATGGTAGAATAGAAAATATACACTTCGTAATGAATAATTCCCATGTATCACTGACCGATAAGAAATGGCAGTGAAACAAGGTACAATGGGATTGCCTGTTCTAGTGAAGGGACACAAAAAGGCCTTGGATGACCAACCTCGGGAGGAACAATACAGTCTCTGTTGTAGTCCCTAAAACACCCTACACCCCGATATTGCCACATCGTACCCACTATCAAGCGCACTTGCATTACCAAGCTGTATCCCAGGCACAGAGCCGAAGCATTCATGAGCACCGTCACTGAAAGTAACACAAACCGAACTGGATCCAAACCTACATTATTCAACGTTATTATGCACTCCACTGCAGCACCCACTGGTTAGGTTTTTTTCTTCTTCCAATAAGTCTTCTCTACGAAGCACATTCATTTGTCAAAGCACTTATAGCAAAAGTGCACTTCGTGAATATTTAATAAGTTCCCTTTCATGCGCGGTACGCCGTCGACAGAAGACCCCGGCATAACACACCATTGGTTGACCATCGACCAAGCCCACCCACCAACAAGGCATTCCCACGAAGCCACAATGGAAGCAGAGCGGCACTCAAACCCTAAACGGTTTTGTTTACTTTCGCGGGCAAGAATGGAGCAAGGTGGGAGACTTAACCAAGGGCTTTACGGCACGAGGGACTTCCCCGATAGCCATTTGAAGTGCCAAAAACCTACAACGCTTTAAGAGGATATTATGTCCTATCACACGTCTCCCTTTGCCTCTTAGTATGACTGAATGTTGTTGTGAGTATTCAATCGATTTTATGTTAGGTTTTTTAACTTTTGGGGTGTTTTTTTTTCGTTAACTGAATAAATATCAGCTATAATAGAGGGTTTTTTTTTTAATCAGCTCTTGGCTCGGTTTGTATTTTGCCAGAAGAATTAGCAAATGTGACGATTATAAAGCAGTACAGCACTGAGGAAGACTAAAGTATTAAAATGGAATTGTACAGGTGTAATTTCAAATATAACTCAAGTATGTATGTTGAACTTCTTTCGCACCATACGTAGCCACCGTGCTAATCAGAGGTGCGGGTGAAAGACAACAAACTAAACACACTCAAGTAGTTGCAAATAAATGAGTTGCCAATCTAGATTTAAAAGTGCATAGCTCCAGTAGCTTCCTAGGTAGTGACTTGTGCTTTGCTGTAATAAATCTAATATTTACCCAGAAATAAAAGGTCACTTAATTTAAGATGTCACAATTGAATAAGTAACAAATGCCCTCCTTTGCAGTAGGATTTTATGGGCTGCCTTTCTGAACCAGCCTGAATAACTTGAGAGGCATCACCAAACAAGCGTGACCACCAAGTGTTGGATGAAAAACGATTCAATATTTAAACACTACTTAAATACGTGAGTCATAGAATGATGCCTTAATCATTCCGCAAAAAAACAGGAAAGCTAAATAGTTCTTGAAGAATTGAAGACCCATTACCATTTCATTATATCACGGAGAACTGTATATTGAACAATTTAGAGGCTAACCATTCACATGAGCAGCAGACTGGATTTAGAAATATTTCTCTACCATTAATTAAGCACAATAATATTCTAGAAAAAATAATTATCTAATACCAACATGTCTGGTTTTTGTCGAGTAAAAAAATCATAGAATTCAGTGAGAACCGATGCAGTCATTTATAGTGCACACAAAGGAAGGCCTTAAATATGAAACAGATATTATCAAAAGCTTGTGCATGTGCTTTTGATGAGAGGCGTGAAATTTACTACTTAGCTACGCTTGGGCAGGACACGTCGCTCGATGGCCTGATGGACAAGTTGGACGAGACTGGTGACAGGATGGCAGCCAAGCGAGGGATGCCACCTGAGAGAAGACTACTGTGGAGATGGAGGGACGGAAACAATAATGTGCCAGAGCAAGATGAATTATGGCATCCAAGACGTTGAGGAATGAGACAATGGCCTGGGGAGGTCTTCACTCAGCAGTAGAGAGATCATGATGATGTTGACTTCAAAATCTACTTCCATCAGATGTAATACTATGCTAAAAGAGTTGCAATTGGCCAGTTGTTATGGTATTGAGTCGGCCAAACTGATAACGCTGGTAACACATTCTCAATAAGCAGCACAAAAACAATAACTAAACGAAAAAAGTTATCACAGCCGGGGAGGTAAAATTAGGGACAAAGTATCCTTTATTGCGCTATATGATCGCACTAAAGAAGAAAACATTTACTTTAACTGTATGCAATACATGTGTGCTTGTGGCATGGCAATCAGCACACTTCATCATGATCCTGGTGTATTCAGAACATGCACAACCATTGCCAATTGGCCCGAGCACCCTGGAGATCCACTTCGCCTAAAATCAGCAACTGGTGGGCATGTAATGAAGCGTACAATCTTAAAATCACAGTTCACGCATCAAGTCATGCAAGTCGATTGCAGTGGTGGATGGTGAGCCCAGAGGTCAAGAGTACTGAGCTAGCGCCACTGAGATTCTGCGATAGAATCCAAGAAGCCAGCTGTGATTAAACCGAGTTCTCAAGTGGCGTGAGTTGATGATCTCGGGCTTGTCACCAATGAGTTCGCAAAACCAAAAAAAACCCCATCAAATGTGCTCAATATCGGTCGACGGAAATGTGATAAATATTACTCGTAGTGGCAGAATGAAAGGGAAAGTGCTGCTTTTGTGGGCCGTTCTCTGACACAAAGGGTTGTGCACTGCTCTGCGAGAGATCCAAACGGATACTTCATCCCAACGACATAACACCCAGAGCAAACTTGAGTTAAATTTGGAATTCGTTTTTATTACCAAAGAACCGATTGTAGAATGCACAATTTATACCAATTACACGTATGACAATGTAATGCATGTGCGAATTTAGCAAAAGAAACGCTGTACAAACGGTACAAGAAAATGGGAAACAAAAACAAGAGTGTGCCTAACTGCTGCAGTGCATGTCAACACCAACCCCAGAAAAAAATAAGGTTGGACGTGCCGCTGTCAACGCCAACTTCTCATGTACCACGTTGGCCTTTACTAAGCAATGTACCAAGTGACGTCACTTGGCCTAAAGGTTTACATGTGGTTCAATGGAGGACCTTAATACAGCACATTTTATAAAGCATTGCAGTACATTCACCACACAGCCACAAGTATATTTAATAATGGTACTGCACTTGGAAAAATTAAGGCCACTTATAATTTTTCAGTTGTTTAAAAACATCAAATGTCACCTACGGTGAGTCACGTACATTTTTCACATTTTATTTTATATACTGTTAATTACTCAAGCGTGCGTTTGTGAACTAGTTTGAATGACAATGGCTGTGTATACTTCTGGCCACATTTCACTCACGGTTCAAAAACCAGGTAGCTCTGGATTTATCCCAAACCCACCAGTGGCATCGACATACCAGATTGATACGGCCTAATTATTTTAAGCGCATATGCCAAGTGTTATTAAGGGAATCTGAAATACAGCAATTTTTGCAATGTAAACAATGGAAGGAAGTTGAACATTTGCAATTTTGGACACGTATATTACCTAAGCGGCGGAGCGTTGATGTAGCGGTTGGCACAATGCGTTATGAATTTCGCGAGCTGTGTTTCAATTCCCGGTCATGGCTAAAACAAAAAAAATCAGTGACAAACAACCCGCATAACGGGAAGGCATGGGAAGGCTTTCATCCAGCAGTGGATTGACAAAGGGTAGATTTTTCAATCGTCATATTTAATCATTCCAATAAATTAAAAGGTTAGATATGATTACAATGCTGATTATTTTGCAATGTTTTCATAAACAACAGGCCACCCAGAAAGGGCGTTCTATTTGTTTACAGAACACAACTCCAGAATTATTCAACAATTGCAAGCAATTTTAAGCATGTTGCTACATGCCCAGTGTTTGATATTGGAATGCCCATTCACTTTATTTTCTTAACAATGCCATGCTGTCTCGGTGCATCCAACAATGCATATTTTCTGGGTATTTCATGGCCAATGGCTTGACAATTCCATTGAAGGAATGGACTCACTTTGACTCTGAACATAACTTATTTGCAAGTAATGATGCATTAGCTCATTTTTAAAAAAATCTAAAATCATGATACACATCAATTTGAGGGTGTAGGAAACAATTATTTACAAACTAATTGGAAGCCAATATGCACTTGCCAGCTTTTATTGAATTTTCCTTGTAATTTTAAACTAAAAATAAGCTATTTTTGTATTTTACCAGGTAAGGCCCATTGAGCAATATAGCTCTTTTCCCTAAATGACCTGGCCACAAATGATAGCCAAATGAAGTTGCTTATCATGTGGAAATGTATAGCAGCCAATGTTATATTTAAAGCAGCCAAATGCATAGCGGTCGAACATTTTCCATGTTTGTAATCCATATTTCATTGTAGGTGATCTACACCGATTGAAACATTTTTTCTCAATGGAATTGCACTAACATGCAGGATTGATTTGAGAACATATGCAAGTTAAATATATATTTTTTTACTGTTAAGTAAAGCGTGCTTGGGATATACATCACTCAACAGAACAGCCGATGGTTGAAACTAACAACGGAGTGGCAACCAAAAGAGAAAATGCATCCGAGAGGACATCGACCATGGATGTGAAGCAGTGAGATTGTAACATTCCATCAATGTAACATCGATGGATTGTTACACTGGAAGACCATGACAGACGGTGACATC